AGCCAGGATGGTCTCGATCTCCTGACCTCGTGATCCGCCTGCCTCGGCCTCCCAGAGTGCTGGGATTACAGGCGTGAGCCACCGCGCCCAGCTACTTGGGGGGTCTTGCTGTCTGGAGCTTGAGATTGGGGGCTTCTCTCTTTTACAGATAGGAGCCCCGGGGGCTGAGATGAAGGTGTCTCAACTTGGGGGAGGGTTGTTCTCACCCCCTGAGACTGGGAGCTGGGCACCCCTTCCTCAGTGATGGTCTTATCTCCTCTCCCTGGCTACAGGTGGAGGGATCATATCATAGGGATGATGAGGGCTTACCTTTTTGGAGTCTTAATATTTGGACCTGGGGGCTGAAGGTAGGAATCCCATTCTGTGGATGGGGGTCCCATCTCTCCCCTTGGAGGCTGGAATTTTTGTACCTTTTGGGGTGGGGATTTGAGGTTTCACTTTAAGGGGAAGATTCACCGGGACTGGTACTAGAGGTCTCGTTCTTTCTCTCTGGATGGGGCCTCAACCTTTGGGTGTGAGGGTTGGGAGTCTGAAGGCTCTCCCTGCAGGGAGGACTTCTTCCTTTCACCACAGATGAGGTCTGGGGGCAGGGATTTTCACTTCCTGAAGCCAGGGGAGTAGTTGGGTTTTATTTCACATTCTAGGGAGAGTTTCACCTGGGTTGGGACCAGGGTATCAGCTGCTCTCCTCAGCTGGGAGTTGGAAGAGTGTTTTCACTAGGACTGGGGCACTGAGGGTCTCACACCTATGGAAGGGTCTTACCCTCTGAGCCTGGGATCTGGGTGGATGATTTCATGCTTGGACTGAGGGCTGTGGGTTTTACTTTTTGGGGAGATTTTCATGGAGTCTGAATGAGGGGCTGCACCCTCTGTTCCTGGCTGGGAGATTTGGATAATTTTCTCCTCTGGGGCAGGGAAGCTGAGGATCTCATCTCCTTGGACAGGGCTCACTCTCTGGGTCGTGGGGGCTTAGGCATCTCTTCCTGGGCCTATCTCCATCACCATTTTTTGTTTGTTTGTTTTTGAGTCTCACTATCTCCCAGGCTGAAGTGTAGTGGCCCTATCATATTTCACTACAGCCTTGAACTCCTGAGCTCAAACAATCCTCCTGCCTCAGCCTCCCAAGTAGCTGGGACTAGAGGCATGCACCACCATGCCTGGCTATTTTTTTTTTTAAACTTTGGTGCAGACAGGGTCTTGCCGTGTTGTCCAGGCTGACCTCAAACTTCTGGCCTCAAGCAATCCTCCTGCCTTGACCTCCTGAAGTGCTGGGATTACAAGCACAAACTACCACACCTGGCTAATTTTCCTCCAATTTTTTGAAAGATGGGATCTCACTGTGTTGTCCAGGCTGGATTGCAGTTGGTCTGATTATAGCTTACTGCAGCCTCAAACTCTTGGGCTCAAGCAATCCTCCTGCCTCAGCCTCCAAGTAGCTGGGACCATAAATGCATGCCATCACGCTGGGTCATTAAATTTTTTTTTTTTTTTTTT